ATCTTGTTATCGACTATGGGCCGAAGAATTATCAAAACCCTAGATTTGAGAAGTGACGGCGGCGGATTTGTGTTTTAAAATTAATAGACTATCTCATATCATTTAATAGACTATCCCATATATCTAATTCGACTATGGGTTTAGTTATTTGACTATTGGGCCGAAGAATCAACAAAATCCTAGATCTGATAAGTGATGGCGGCGGATTTGTGTTTTAATATTGTTAGACTACCCCATATCATGTAATAGACTATCTCATTGATCTAATTCGACTATGGATCTCGTTAATCGAATATGGATCCCGTATTATTCAACCACATAGTATATTAATAATTTCAATATAGTACATTAATCTGCTATGATAGTATATTACGGTTATAGTAGTGATATGAAATTGTGTTACAAACAATATACCACTGAAATGACAAGAACATTGAGAACAAAACCAACGTAAAGTAATTCCAACATAACCAATAAAATAGTACATTAATAATCTCATAATTTCAATCTAGGGTTTTGATAAAATACTTAAAACACATCATAACACAATCAAACCAATATGTCGAGTTAAAAAACTCTAGTACATTAATAATCTCATAATAGTATAATAAAATGATAATGGTAGTATCATACGGTATTCATAATAGTATACTACTGTATTACAACGGTTTAACACTTAACCGAAGTTACCGAGCCATTACATCGTAAACACGACATTAATTAAACATATCAAATCTTAGGGTGGTTTGGAAAATAACAACCATCGGAATCATTTGAATTCATTTAGTTTATGTCATCGTCGCTATCATCAGGAATGCAGTCGACTTCTTCTTCGAAAAACTGCACAAAGCCTGCATTCAATACCTCACTTCCAGTGGCATCAACGGCTCCAACTAGTTCACCCCCACCCCCTGTTCCATCATCATCAGAAATAACAACTTCAGCATCATATGAACCTAAAATCATGAAACCAACTGCAAATCATGAATACTAAAAATGATTAAATAGACTGCAAATACATTTGAATGACAATAAATTAACATCATCAAAAATAAACTTGAAAATGCATAATCCATACAATCAGTTGAAAAAGACTACGAAAATGTATTTCAATGTACTACCGAGCACACTAAAATCAACTGTTATAAACAAATAAACCAACTATCACTCTCGATTATTGCGTAAACCAACTACGACACTCATATAAAACAACTCTGGTCCGACTGCGTGAACCATCCTCTGCTAACTCTGTGAATCCTCTTCCAAACAAACATCATCAGCCAAAATAAGGATGTATATGTGACGACGTAATTTTTTTAAGAAACGATCTACTTTACTACCAATATAATCAACGTATCAACACAAATCTTAAAAACAAATACAGCGAAAAAATAGCGAAATAAAAACGAAAAAATACAGCGAAAAATAAAAACGAAAAAAAAACCGAAAAAAAACTAAAAAAAACACATTCATACCCGCTTAACGACGGACAACGATGAACGCTCAAATCCGAACCTATTTCCACGCCGGTGAAAAAACGATGGAAAACGATGAAATGCTGGATAAATTCTTCAAAACCGGTTCAAATCCGAACCCGATTGAAAACGATGAAAAACGATGAACGCTCAAATCCGACTCTATCTTCAAATTCGATGGAAAACGATGAAACGCTGGATAAATTCTTCAAAACCGGTTGTACAAGATTTGATAGAAACCGCCAATATACTCACGTAATTTTATTCCGTGATTTTAGGCAACGTATCAGCAATCTCATATCACGTAGTTAAGGAAGTAAATACCGTTAAAAAATAAAACAAAATATTAAAGGGAAATTACATAATATATTTTGCCAAGTTGGCAAATTTGGGTGTATCTCAAAAAGGGAAAAATTAATTGGATCTACCTCATTAGAAAATATGAACAAGGGGGTTATCCCAAATAAACCCTTTTATATATACCAAAATTACCCTCATTTCCTTGAAAACCAATTCAACTCCAATTTCATGATTTACACCCCAATTTAGCCAAATTTCACAAATTAACTAAGTTTGACCATTATTCCAATTTTGATCCAAATTTTGACCCGCCACCGCTGGAGACCGCCGGTCAGGCGGTCAGCCGCCGTTGACCGCCGGTCTTCAACGTTGAGTTTTTCTTTCTTTCTTTTTTCCAAATTTTTTTTTCTGAATTTTTTCTGGCAGGTAAACCGCCGGTCTACGGCGTTGACTTTTTTTTTGGAAGTTTTTTGAATTTTTTTTTTCTGAGTTGTCATTTTCCGGCAGGTCATACGCCGGGTCTCTGGCGTTGACTTTCTTTATTTTATTTTCTAAAAAAAATATTTTAATTAATAGTACTATCTTGGCTGCGAAACTGCTGTCTCCAACAGTTAAATCTCGGAGACAGTAATTTAACTGTCAATGACTCTTTTTTTTTTTTGAAATTTTGTTTTTTCTTAAAAAAAATATTTTTTAATTAATATCACTGTCTTAACTACTAAATTACTATCTCCAACAGTAATTCAACTGTCTGAGACAGTAATTTTACTATATTAATTAATTTTATCGTCTTGGCCTGCAATTTTGTTGTCTTCGACCGTAATATTACTGTATCCAACCTATTACTGTCTCATGCATTAATATTACAGTTTGGTACAATAATATTACCGTTCGGGAAAGTAATATTAATAATATTACTATCTCAAACAGTAATTTTACAGTCTCAGACAGTAATACTACTGTTTGGGACAATAATATTACTATTTTGGGACAGTAATATAAGTAATATTACTGTTTTGGTATTAAATATTACTATTTTAGACAATAATTTTGTTGTTAATACAATAATTTAGAGAGAAACAAAATAAAATAAAAACAAAAAGTGAACGTCAGATACACTAATTTTACTATCTAAGACAGTTAAATGACTGTTTCCGACAGTTAAATTACTGTTGAAGACAGTAATTTAGCAGCCAAGAAAGTAATACTAATTAAAATAATTTTTGTATGATTTTTTTTTTAAAAAGAAATAAAATAAAAAAATCAACGGCGGTTGATCGTCCGGAAAAAAATTCAGAAAAAAAAAAGTTTTCAAAAATAATAATAATAATTCCGGAGAACCGCCCGGTCAACGCCGAAATTTAACCGGAAAAAAATTAAAAAAAAATTATTTGAAAAAAAAAATTATTTTTTCAAAAAATTATGAAAATAGGGGTTAATGTGATATATTTGTTTAAATCTGGGGTCAATGTGTAATATTGAAGAAGTAAGAGCATTATGGATGGAATTGATAAAAATTATATTATGGAGGGTATTTTAGACAAAAAACACGGGGACGAATGTATTTGGAAGATTATTTTTTGTCTGGACCAATGTGGATTTAACTCCCTTGTCATGTCCCTCTTTGCCATTTGCCCTATATATAGGGTAAAACTCACTTCGCCCCCTTAAAAAACTCATAATTCGCACTTTCCCCCCTAAGAAACCGAAAAAGAGACTTACCCCCTTCAAAATTCTGTCCCAGTAGCACTTTACCCCAACATTAGAATTATGGTGTATATTTTTACCGCAAATCAAATTTCTCCATCCACTTAGGGGTATATGCGTCAAATCATCTTTTCCATCCATTTGAAATTTTTGAAGGGTGCAAAATGTATTTTTCCCTGAAAGTTTTTATTTGTTTGTTTAGTTTTTTTCATTTACAAATTATAGTTTTTAATGCAATATATTCAACTTTGCGTAATTCAAAAAATATTTTCATATTTGTTATTCATGTTACATATATTTTCATTATTATTTAATAAAGTTTTAATAATATTGCAACTTAAAGAAACAAATGGAAAAATATAAATTTAATATAACTTGGAGAAATTTAAAATCAAGTGAAAATTTTAAAAGAAAAACATATATACCCTAAAATGACGTATATATCCCTTAAGTGAACGGAGACATTTGAAATTCGGTGAAAAATACATCGGAATTCGAATTTTGGGGCAAAGTGCAACTGGGGCACAATTTGGAAGGGGGAAAGTGTCTTTTTTGATTTCTTGTGGGGGAAAGTCCGAATTATGAGTTTTTTTAGGGGGCAAAGTGCATTTTGCCCCCTATATAATATATACACAAAAACTCAATTTCTTCGGTAATGAGCCCACGAATATAAAGTTAAGGCCCAAAGAAAGAACAAGTATGTTCTGGAAGATGTTCGAAATTTCAGGAATGTGCAAGAATCATCTGATCACCCATATAAATACGCTTGCTCCTTCAACCAAATCTCATCGAAAATTACAAACTGAGTTATCTGCAAAACTATCAAATTCTTCATAAACCACCAAATCATCCATCCAGTATTATTTCCTGCAGAGATGTCTCTGATTCCAAGCTTCTTTGGCAACGGCCGCCGGAGCAACGTCTTCGATCCGTTTTCATTGGATATTTGGGACCCATTTCAGGGCTTCCCATTTTCCTCAGCCGTCGCCAATCTCCCTTCCTCCGCCAGAGAAACCACCGCCGTGGCCAATGCTAGGATCGACTGGAAAGAGACGCCGGAGGCACACTTGTTTGAAGTGGATGTTCCTGGATTGAAGAAAGAGGAAGTGAAGGTTGAGGTTGAAGACGGGAATATTCTTCAGATCAGCGGAGAGAGAAGCAAGGAGAAAGAGGAGAAGAACGACAAGTGGCACCGCATCGAGAGGAGCTCCGGCAAGTTCATCCGCCGATTCAGGCTGCCGGAGAATGCTAAATTGGAGGAGGTGAAAGCGGCTATGGAGAATGGGGTGCTGACTGTCACTGTGCCCAAGGAGGAGGTGAAGAAGCCTTTGGTCAAGGCCATTGACATCTCTGGTTAACTTTGATTTTTGGATTGATTGGTCGTAAATGAATAATCAATGGCAATGGCGTATATTTGGGGTGTACTCCATCCGTTCCTTATTAAGTGTCGTTTTTAGTTTTGCACAAGGATTAAGAAGCTCAATAAATGTGTCTTCATTTTAGGTAAAATATATTAGAAAGACTAAAATAACCTTGATTATTTAATGATGTGATAAGAGAGAGTTAATATTTATAGTTGAATTAATAAGGTTAAAACAGGAAAAAATGCATTTAATGCGGTATTGGAAATCTAAAGTGACAGATAATATGGAGCAAAAATATTTTTAAAAAAAGATAGTTATTGTGGAACCGAGGGAGTATTTCTTTTGGGTTTTGTGACAATAGAAATTCCGGAATAAAGCCGAACTGATAAATAATACATGTTGCTTTTCACATTAATTCATTTAATCATTTCTAGATTCTAAACTCTTATATCAGTATCACTACAACAATTTGGGGTTACGACCCTTTGTTTACCCGACAGTTTTAGAACCGTTGTATAAACACGTATTTATGACGGTCACTTGCAAATTTTATTAAAGTTTGTCTATATTTTGTGGAAATTTAGATAAACCAGCAAATGTTTGGAATTTGCAATATATATTTGGCATCTTAAGATGTAAATACTTATTTAGTATTGGCCAGTTAGTTTTCGTTGTCTTCGATTTTTTATATTCAACAATTGATGGCAACAAGATTCAGGGAATTGGATTACAATTGGCAGAAAAAGAAGAGTTCTAAAAAATGTACAAGTATTCCCTACAGTTATTTAAGGGTCGGAAAAAAACATTCCCGACGGGTTTTTTACTCATGAAACTTTATACGACGCCTTTTTTCTCGACGGTCTCCTGACGGTCTAAAACGGTCGGGAAAACTACTCCCGACGGTTTTCTTACGTCGCTTAAAGCCATATATGTTGTAGGGGTATTTTCTTTAGATCTAAAACAATGGGAACTTATTATGGCTATTTTACGGGCAAATTACCACTATTTCTTTGAGGTTAAATTAAATTATGAAAAAAATGACTCTTGTTTGGATAATTACAACTATCTCTTAGTTACGTATTGTGTTACGAAAAACTCCCTTCAATAGGTAAATTCGATAATGTTAGGCTGAACATGTAAAACAATACATAGTTCAGAAGAGTGATTGTAATTATCCAAACATAAATTTTTTTTCTTAATTTGGTCTTACGTGGTTGACCATTAACAAAAGATGAAATGAGATTAACCAAACCATCAAGTGCCACACATGAAGAACAACCCGAGTTCACACAAACATCAATCTTCTCCTTAAGACACACATCTCTCCATCCAACACTTCTCCAATTTAATCCCGGTTTTCCAAGCACCATCCACATACCTCGAACTGACCATTTGATTTCCTAAAAAAGGCGAACAAATCATCGGTACTCCTTCGCAAATACTCTCTAGCGTCGAATTCCATCCACTGTGCATCCAAAATCCACAAACGGCAAAATTAGACAGAACCTTTTGCTATGGGGACCACTTCACAATACAATTCTTCTCCGTAACCGAATCCGGAACAGGAGGTCCGTCCCCATTGCGTTCCGGCGAACCATGGTCCCAATAATTCATGTTTAATTTTGTCATTGTTAAGTAGAAAGATTCATGATTATGTATTTAAAGCTTGCTTGTAATTAAATTAAATTATTATTTTTTAACATGTGGATAAAATGTAAGGCAAAATCCATTTTCCACCCCTTGTACTCTGAGTCGAGATCACTTTACCGCATTAATTTTACTTCCGATTGCATCGATTGAGATCTACAGCTACCACAACTGTACGTATGGGATTTTCCATGGAATCTCGAGAGTTCGAACAAAAGACACCTCTGTAAGAACAAACGCTTTTGGGTCGTCTGTAATGGCTGATTCCATGCCCGGGGAATATTGTATGCTCTGTTCGGGGTGGTTGTCAAATTCCCCTACTTGATAAGATAAAAAAAAAAAACGCAAGTTAATAAAGATTGATTTGAACGTACTGTTGAGTTCATATGGAATTAGTATTTTCAACTCAAACCACACAATACTTTTGCTTCTTAAAATGGTTCATTGATTTTATACTCTAACTCTGTGCTTCTATACATTTTTCTTCTCTTGATAAACTATCATATTTGTCTACAAAATGAGAACAAACAAGAACTAATTTTTACAAAATTGTGATCCTCCTAAACATGTATATCGATCATGTTTTGCTCAAACGAGAGGTTAAATCAATAAATAGATCTTCACTGCAAGGAATTGTGATACCACCCATTGGATGATGGAATCCGAATTCTTCTTCTGCCTGAAATAGCAAATCTTGAAACAAAGGATGGTTTAAGTATGATAATGGAATTACAAATCGTTTTTTCTCGCCCTCTCCAACATAAACAGCCAAATGCCATTTTGGAACTTCAGCTGTACTTCTGTCGTTGGATAACGATCGTCTCAAAATTTGGCGGATTGCCATCTTCGTTTGTGTGAAGTGAATTCCGCTTTGGTCAAGTAAAAACAAAGAGGTATTTGAAATGAGTGAAAGCTGAGAAAGATAAGAGTATTTTGATCAGGAGTTGTTGTTTGTAACCAAGAAATGGTGTTGCATATATAGGATAGAAAGAAATGATGAATTCTTATATTGACATAACATGGTCAATATAGGAATAATAGAATAGGAGAAAGAGAGAAATAATAATACGTAATAGAATAGAAACCCCATTGTGTTATGGGTTGATTACATGGAATATATATAGAGAAATATTGCAAGGTAATAGAGTTTGACTAGGTAACTAAATCCTAACTAATCTAGGTAACCGAATCATACTAGAATCCTAATATTAGGAGATTTCTATAATATAATATTCTCTAATACGCCCCCGCAGTCGAAACGTGACGAACGTAAAGACTGGACATTCACTTGCTAGCACGCTCCCGTAGTCGGAACGAATAAACTTCAAACGTGAAGACTGGAAACTTCAAACGTGAAGACTGGACAGAAACCGCGAAACACATCGCTAGAGAGAATTCCTCTGTTGAAATATCTGCCAAATTTAAAAAAAAAATAATAATAGTAATAATAAAGAAAAATAAGATTTTTTTTTTCTTTTTTTTTTTTTTTTTTTTGTGTGTATGAATCGAGAGAGAGAGAGAGGGAGAAGATATGAGAGGGGTCGCCGGCCATGGAGAAGAAGAGAGGCAGCGGCTACGTTTTAGGCCATGGAGAAGAAGAAGAAGAAGAAGAAAAAGATAGAGAAGATACACCAACCACCGAGAGAGGGAGAAAATTCGGTTTGGTGGTCGCCGGCCATGTAGAAGAAGAGAAGCGGCGGCTAGGTTTTAGGCCATGGAGAAGAAGAAGAAGAAGAAGAAGAAGAAGAAGAAGAAGAAGAAGAAGAAGAAGAAGAAGAAGAAGAAGAAGAAGAAGAAGAAGAAGAAGAAGAAGAAGAAGAAGAAGAAGAAGAAGAAGAAGAAGAAGAAGAAAGAGAAGATGCACCACCGGGGGAGGGAGAAAAAATTCGGGTGGTGTTCATAGAAGATAGAAAAGAAAAATATTAAGAGTACCACCACCGGGGGAGGGAGAAAAACGGGTGGTCACCGCCATAGAGAAGAAAGACGGCTAGGTTAAAAAACCTGGTGCTCTGATACCATATTGAATGACCATCTCAACCAAAAGCTTAAGCTGTTAGTGAAATGTATCATTTAATATTAATATCTCCAATACGCCCCCTCAAGTGCAGGCGAATTACATTTGAAGCCTTGCACTTGAAATATTTGAATTGGGTGGCGGTGGGATTCGAACTCAGGACCTTTCATTTGGCCTGGCTCTGATACCATGTAACCCCAGTCTTCACAATGGGGGTTTCTATTCTACGTATTATTATTTCTCTTCTTCTTCTATTCTATTCTTCCTATATGGTATCAGAGCTCCAGGTTTAGGTTTTTTAACCTAGCCGCCTTTCTTCTCCATGGCGGTGAAAACCTAGCCGCCTTTCTTCTCCATGGCGGTGACCACCCAATTTTCTCCCTCCCCCGGTGGTGGTACTCTAATATTTTTCTTTATTTTTTTTACTTTTCTATCTATCTTTTTATGAACACCACCCGAATTTTCTCCCTCCCCCGGTGGTGCTTCTCTATCTTTTTCTATCTTATTCTTCTTCTTTTGCTATCTTCTTCTTCTTCTTCTTCTCCATGGCCTAAAACCTAGCCGCCGCTTCTCTTCTTCTCAATGGTCGGCGACCACCAAACCGAATTTTCTCCCTCTCTCAGGTGGTGTATCTTCTCTATCTTTTTCTTCTTCTTCTTCTCTAGCCGCTGCCTCTCTTCTTCTCCATGGCCGGCGACCCCTCTCTCATCTCTTCTCTCTATCTCGGATTAAAAAAAAAAAAAAAAAAAAAAAAAAAAAAAGTTCTTATTTTTCTCTCACCCGTTATTATTATTATTATTATTATTATTATTATTTTTAAATTTGGCAGATATTTCAACAGAGGAATTCTCTAGCGATGTGTTTCGCGGTTTCTCTCCAGTCTTCACGTTTGAAGTTTCCAGTCTTCACGTTTGAAGTTTATTCGTTTTGAAGTTTATTCGTTTCGACTGCGGGAGCGTGCTAGCAAGTGAATGTCCAGTCTTCACGTTCGTCACGTTTCGACTGCGGGGGCGTGTTTAGAGAATATTGAGAATATTATATTATAGAACTCTTGTAATATTAGGATTCTAGTATGATTCGGTTACCTAGATTAGTTAGGATTTAGTTACCCAGTCAAACTCTATTACCTTGCAATATTTCTCTATATATATTCCATGTAATCAACCCATAACACAATGGGGGTTTCTTTTACGTAATATTATTTTTCTCTTTCTCCTATTCTATTCTTCCTATATGGGGGAGGGAGAAAATTGGGTGGTCACCGCCATGGAGAAGAAAGGCGGCTAGGTTATCACCGCCATGGAGAAGGAAGGCGGCTAGGTTAAAAAAACCTAAACCTGGTGCTCTGATACCATATAGGAATAATAGAATAGGAGAAAGAGAGAAATAATAATACGTAATAGAATAGAAACCCCCATTGTGTTATGGGTTGATTACATGGAATATATATAGAGAAATATTGCAAGGTAATAGAGTTTGACTAGGTAACTAAATCCTAACTAATCTAGGTAACTGAATCATACTAGAATCCTAATATTAGGAGATT